CTCCACCCTGCACCACCCCACCTTCACCTCTTCCTCCTGCAAACGTAGGAGAGAGGGGCGCTACACAGGTTACTGAGGAAAGATGTGTAGGATATTTATTTTTCTAATTCACACAAGTAGAAATGTGTGTGGAACTTGTTGCTGCTCTGAAATAAGAGATTATTCAAATAAATGTGCAAAAGATTTTTCTCTGAAAACAGCTTAAATTACTTTTTTAGTTTTTATCTGAGATGTGTCCCAAAATGTAAAATATACAAAAACAAAGACACAGGAAAAAGATAACCCCACTTAAATTAATATTATGTTAGTCCAAATTTATACCGATATAATTTTACATGTAGCTAACATAGGAAAATAAAAAAGTTTATCTAAACACTCAATAGTCTTGATGGAGAATAATACGTTAAATGGTCAAAACTCTCATTTAAGAAGCTTTACAATAGTTATTGTCTTCAAATGTGTCTGAAAAGTAGAGAAAAATTAAATCAAAGCTGGGTTAACATCATTAAAACAAATGTAAACTATAATACATTATCTTCATACTGCAAATACACAAACACACAAATGTGACACACACACACACACAGCAGTTGTGGCAGTTTCCTGCTTCTACGTCTGTGTTTGCACGTGTGCGTCGCAGCACCTCTGAATCTCTGATCTCTGTTTAATCTTCAGCAACAAACCAACGCACAAACATCTGCTTCTACGATCTCATCTGCTTCTTCACCCTCCTCCTCAGTCTCTGCTCTGCAGCGCACACACACACACACACACACACATACTTATTCTACTCTCATACGGTCAATATATGACTTTAACACATCACTAAACCAAGGCATAGGTTAAAATTTCATCAATTTATTGTCAATATTTATCCTGATGAAGAGCGTGTCCATTACAAGGTCATTCATATTTCACAATAGTTTTTTTTTTTTTTTTTTTTTCGTTCTTTAGAAGAACTTGTTCTTTTTGCTGACAGGTCAACTGCTAATCTGCTGCTGCCTCCTGTGGTTATTTTGTGCCACTGAAGTAAATCCAAGCAAGTGATTTAAAACAGTGATGTCACGAAATAACACATTTGAACATAATGGGGTTAATTATTTAATTCATCAGTAAAAGCCCTCTGCCATGGTCCTTCACAGTTTTCAGTTTAACTCCAAATTTAAAGATTTGACTCCAAAACCAGTCAAGTCTGTGTCCTGAGTCTCAGTGTCTGTCATCAGTTGACGGCACATTCCTGGTATTTTCTCTTTTATGATCTACACAATCATCCATCTCCTCTGAAGCTAGTAATCAGACATTACTGTGGAAAACAACGAAGTGCACGTTCCACACAGTAGGAACAGTGCCTGGGCTCTGTGCATGTGTCACACACAACCTGGAGAAACTGTCACTGTTTCCACCAGAGCCAGGTTCTCTACTTTTACGGCTTTGTAATTCTGTGTGTGGTGATGCAGCTGCAGGAGCAGAAACTTGGTGACAGCCCGGATGAGATTCAAGTAGTATTAGATACTGTTTAAAAAATATGGCAAAAATTAGAAACAGAAATGAAGTTAGCAAAAAGCTAACCAAACTTTGCTCTGGAAATAAGAATTAGCAGTAAGTAAAGCAGCGTTTAGCAGGAGTTACCAAAATTCGACTGAAAATCAACTAAAAGTTAGCAGACATAGCTAACGTTTGCTCATTTTTTCCTTTGCTTTTTTCTTCTACAGTGTAAAAAATAAACCAAACATCTGCTGCGTTTCCCTGAAGTTCCAGCAGGGAAAAGGCGGCTGACCAGAGAATGTTAATTGTCCTGCGGTGTTACGGTAAAAATAGTCCCTGGAACTCAGTCTGATCTTATTTACAAAGACAGGAAGTTTGTGCATGGCTCAGACGATATAATTTTCCTTGCAGGCTTAAAGAAAAAAAAGTTTCGGTATGTGTTTCATTGCATTCGTCTTTCCTGATCATCAAGACTCTTCATCAAACCATATAATTTTATACATCAGTGTTTTTGTTTTCTCTTCTGTCGGTTTTCTTCACAGGAACTTACTTTACAACAAACTGTGAGTCATATCCACGGGCTTCTGAATCCAACATACCTGAACTTGTTTTTTCTGAAGAGCTCACTATGAGCAATTCAACAGTAAAAAAAAGTTATACAAAAATCTAGCATCAGGCCACAAAAGATAGAGATTCATTTTTCATAGCTGTTGCCAAAAAACAAATGTTTGTTTGAAACCTCCTCAGAAATACAAATCTGAAATTTGGACAGCAGAACAAAACACGAACATGAGTATTTTTGGTCTGAACTGGGTGAATCAGATGAGATGCTAAAACTGGCAGTTGTTTGAGTTTTCATTTATCAATAACAATCAGATCCCTTTTAATTTTCCTAGTTCCACATCTGACTGGTTCCCCTGAACGTAACCTGTACTCGGGAACAAAGACAGTGTTTTAATCCTCCTACAGTCTGAACACAGTGAAGCAGAAGTAGCAGTGAAAGCTTTTGGACTACGTTCTCTGTTACTGAACTGGCAAAAAGCATCAAACATGATCTGGAAGAGAGACGGTAGTAAATCATATGCAGATATGGGTGGACGGTTCTGGACTCTGGTTCAGGCAACCGGAGAACTAGAATCAGTCACTCAGAGGATTAAGGCTTCTTTATCTGGTGTCAGCTGATTACAAAGCGATGCGGCGTCCTGAAGCTCAGATAATGAACTGACTCATACCTTCTCTGACCTGCTGCTAAACAACAGTGGGGCAAAATGGTCATTGACAACGTCTCTTCTAAAGTTTCAGTTTGAAACATTTAAGAATGTTTATGGACAGCAATGTCAAATAACAATAATATGAAGGCTTCAGCTAGTGGTCCATTCTGACAGGAAACTGATGCTTAAAACATTCTACAACACAAAATGTATGTTTGATTAAAAAATGTATTATTATTACTATATTTCACAGGAATTAAGTCAGTTTATATTAATTTTTTACAAAATGTAATTGCAAAAATAGCTTATAGTCACAAAATTCAAACTTGACCACAGGTGTAAATATGAGCGCCAAAGTTACACAGACTACACTACCCACAAAACACTGCGGACGTACACACCGACATGCTAAACCGCTTAAATTTAAACCAGCGTACACGAACAACCACAACACAATATATCACCTACCAAAATCGATAAATTTCAACATCATAGCGGACAGTGAGGTAGCCACTGTTGTCGGTTCAACATTCAATCCATAGCAGAATCTTACCTATCCGGCAGCATGGGTAAGATTCTGCCGGATCACTTCCTGGTCCGGCAGCATGGAGTGTCCCCGTGGAAGCGCGCGCCATGGGAGAGCTCCGATTTTATTGTTTTATCTGTTGTTATCATTGTTCAAACATTTATTGGCTCCCGTCATAATTATAGATGTGTGGGAATATGTGTAGTTATTGGTTATGTGTTTTTCTTATGGGAAGTCATGTATACGTGTTTGATAATCACATTAAATTGTACAATTCTCCGTTGTTCAACCCTTTATCTAATTACTGGGGTGGTATTTAAAGGGTGATCTCGGAGATGAGGGCAGTCTTGGAAGTAGCATATTACAGCAGCTGGTAGTGAGGTTGTGTGTAAATTTGTAAATTGAATGAAGTCTTTTTTGGCTTGGGGCCCCCCCCCCCCCCCCCCCCCCACTTCAGTCATGGATTTGTATTTTTTAAGCACCTTTGCGTGCTGTAAATAAACCTTCAGTGTTGTTTACCAAATGATTGTTTGATTTGGGTGGATACTCTAAGTGAGGTGTATGTGGCTGTAACTGTCCAGGGTGTGCCCTGTCCTCAGTCATGTGATGAAAACATGTTTGTTGTTTTTTTTTCTCAATTTATTTGCTTAATGTGAGTGTTAGAGAAACATAATTCCAAATACTGTGCATGTTCATATATATATACAGTATATATATATATATATATATATTATAATATTATAGACTATTACTAGGAAAACCGGGCTCAAATGCACCTAGCAGTTGTTGATCCACTGCAACTGGATCATCGTTGAGTTCATATGTGTTATAATGTGACATCACATGTGTTTTTATACAGCACCATCCTATTGAGCTTGAAATGAAATATGAACATCCACCTAAACACAAAGTATCCTCATTCGACAGATAAAACAAAACAACAACAGATCTGTCCCCCCTCTTTTGTTCTTCACAGTTATTACAACTGGAAAACACAGGTGTCCACATCCAACTCCAGTGAAAACTTTGAGGTGATTTACGATGACCCAGGTGGCCTGCTCTTCAGGAACAAGAGGGACAAGAAGGTCCTAAATGTGGACCCAGAAGTAAGTTTTTTTTAGCTGCAAGAGGCAAATGGTAGAGGAGAGTGAGTTACTATAAGTGACGCCTCATGCCTAATTTAATTAATTAATTAATTACAAGTTAAACGTTTCATTTATTGGTGTGCTTTTACATGCCCTTTTACTATTATGGTTATCTATTTTTCTTTAATTTTCATTTAACTTCTAAATTTACTTTTATTTGACTAGAGCTCTAAAAACTGACTGATGGCTTACACACACACACACACACAGTGGGGTAGAGCAGTGGGAAGGGTATTTTTTTCCACCTGTGGAAGGATTGTAGGGTCAGGAATTTGAAGGCAGGTGTTTCCTCCACACATTCACATTCTGACAGCAGTGAGGAAGAAGAAGAAAAAAGAATGACTATTGACAGACTCTGCTGTTTTCTCTCTCTCTCTCTCTAACTCTCTCTCTCTCTCTCTCTCTCTCTCTCGCTCTGCGGGGGGGAGGGGTTGGAACAGTTTAAAGGTTGAGAGTTGCCTACAGGGCCTGAACTATTTAAAAAAAATTTGGGGCTAAGCTGTGGGGACGGCAGCATGTTTTTTTGAGGCCCCGGCTCAGTGTTCTTCATCGCTGCGGTCGAGCTCCGCCCTCCACTGGGACGTCTATTAAAAACAGCAGAGGAGGCAGAGGAAGCCAGAAGCACTCAAAACCACGGCGACTCCGACCAGAACGGAGGACCAGTAACCCAGATCCAAGAACCCAGAGTTCAGCTTAGACCAAAGCAGCACAGAACCAACCATCAGAGTGTAAAACCCTGCTGTTCATGTGGTCAGAGCTCTACAGGCCAAACGTCCAAAAAATCAGCCCCCTGTCAAACTGTCAGCTGCTGCTTTGTTTGCCTTTCTGTGTCAGATTTCATTTGATACAATGGTTTCTTTCAGTTACACTCAGTGTCCTTAAAAATGACTTTTTAGGAAACAAAATCTCTGAAAAGCATGACGTTTAAAGTCAGAGCCCCTCGTGCCATGTCATGCCAATCACTACAACAACTTGGAATCAAAGTTTTACCCCAAATTTATCTAAAATAACACCCACCTATGGCCAGACAGAGTAGTTGGATAATTGAAAGTGAGCCAATAAAAAGTAAAAAGGTTTAGGCAGCTAAATAAATACAGCTAAAATGAAGAATGCTGCAAGTCTTCATCTAAAATAATTAAACTAACTAGATGTAATGCACAAATAAACTAACTGTTGCTGTGTCTCTGGTTCCAGTCTGGACCTGGTGAAGATTCCAGTAGAACCATCCTGCAGTCTGATCTCTACCTACATGTCACCATCTATGACCACATCATCAGAGCTCTCTAAACTTCAACCATGAGGCTGAAGTTGAACATCCAAACTTCCATTAGCATCAATTTCATCTAATTAACACACTCTTTAATATTTGATCTCTGTGGTGTTTTCTTATAAACTACTTTGTTTCACGTTGATGTCGATAAAATGTCACCGCATTCTACTCAACTCTCCGATGGTTTGATTGTTTCAACCCAAACTATAAGGTTAGTTGGATTTAAATTTAGACCACAGCTCACTTTAGTTAAATTTGAGCCGTCTTAGTTTGGTTTGTTGTCCTTTAAGGGCTCAGTTTTAACTTTACTCTGATTGGCTCACTCTAGCTTAGTTTATGTTTAGTTTAAATGTTTAAATAGTTTAACCGGCTAATTTGTTTGTTTTACTTTTGGCTTATGTTATTCTTAGTTGTACTGTATCTACTTTGTGTCAACTTTACGCCAATCTGACACGTTAACCCTGATAGATGAATGCCTGCGTCTCTTATGGTATATACATCATCCCCTGAGCAGCCAATCCGGTGCAGTGGTAGGAACCTTCTCTGTGGGCCCCTGCTTAGTCCAACGTTAGTGTGTTTGCTGCTGTTTGTCTAAATACATTAAAGTGGTAAGGGATTTAAGGGGAGTCAAGAGAGCAAGGGGCTAAGGCTGCATCTTAACTACCCTCCCCCAGGCTGCATTAGCTCCAACTGGACTGCAGGGACAACTTAAAACACTGCATGTTCCCTGATGTCAGTTCAAATCAGTGACTGTAGTGTATATAAGTTCTTTCTATTTTTTTGACTCAGTTGACTTCAAAAACCTTTTTAACTTCACTTGTGTTTCAGCCAATCAAAGTGAACACCAGAGGAAGTTAATATAATTATTATTACTATTGTATTTTGGTTAAGATCAACTTGTACAAATGACTGCCTTCCAGTCGTTGTTGAAGAGGCTAGGCTAACTACTTTAGGACTTGTAATTGGTTTAAAAGGGGGGAGTGTTTATTTCTACTTCCTGTTAGAAACTTGTCTCTGAGAGTGAATTACATTAAAACTCTTAAAAACTAAAAACTTAAACTGAACTCAAATGTGGCTTAGCCAGACTATACAAAGTACAGAGGAAACACACACCGCAAGTGTGTAAAATCTAATGATTTCACAATAAAAGTCTGCTGTAAACACTCCACCCTCCTTTTTATGATGGTCTCAAGTTGTTAGGTTTTAACTCAGGCGTGTTTTATTAACCTGAAGCCTGCACTGCTGCTGCTAATGTACACAACCTGAGCCCAAGAGGCTGGATATGGGCTAAAGTGAGGTCTCAGACAAAGACATTAAAGGTTTTATTTCCTTTTACATGCAAAGAAGAAGAGTTTTAAACCCATGTGATAGAAACACAGCCTCGTTTGAACATGTTTCTGATCAAATCAACCCCACACTGACTGTATGTGGATAACAGATATTTCAATATTCATCAAATCACACCTCCAGAGGAAAGAAATAATCTGATCATTTCCGCCTTATTGAAACTGAGGGAAAACCCACTGTCTGTGCGAGGTACAGGGGTATTTGGGGGAGGCGATGTGTGTGTGTGTGGGGGGGGGGGGGGGGGTTCAGGATGTACATGTTTCAGCTCCACTGCACACAGCCAAAAAACAGAAAACAGTTTTTTTAATGGAACAGCTCAGGCAAACAGATCTGTGGGCTGCACGCACACACGGTGACACACAGGGGGGGGGAGGGGGGGGCAGTGCGGAGTGGCCCTAATTTTTTTTCCAAGGCAGTCCATTGAGTAATGAATGATGAAAGGTGCATCACTTGTTTCCTCTAAAATGTATATATAGATTTATACATATATAAATGTTCAAAATACATATTCACTTATTATTTATATATCAAATTATATTATATATACTGTATTTAGTGTATTCACTAATTACTTTTAAGCCAGTATCGTAACTTTTATATTCTGCGTGTATTGTACCTAGAGTCAACTGTTTTCGACTCATTTTACAGCTTTTTTGGCAAGACGTAAACTATACCTAATATTCTACCTGTTAATTTATTGATATATCTATTTTTATTTTTAGCTTTTAAAACTCCAGCTATGGTTGACTTTTAGCAACAGGATGTATTGGACAAACTTGTGCCTTTTATGGCTCATTTTGAGTCTGTTTGTTCAAGTCTAATTGGGCTTAATCTAATAAAGTCTAACAAGTCTGCTGTCATTGATTACAATATATCACTAGAAAGTTAGAAGTGAGGCAGACACAGCGTGTGTGTGTGTTAGTGCGCGCGCGAATGTGTAAGGGAGAAAGAGAGCGCGCGCGCGCGAAAGAGAGAGAGAGAGGGAGAGAGAGAGCAACAGTGGCCGCGGCTCTTAAACCCTGAGTCTATCTCTCTTCGCCTTCACTGAGGCTGTGGACTCTTCAGCTGCTGTTACTGCTGCTAATCCATTAACTCACCTTTGATTGTGATCAGTAGGTGATCGAGCAGGGACCAGCTGAGAGAAGGATGGCTGAGTGGACCTGAGTCTTCTGGACTTGGTCCATCCTCTTCATCTTCATCTACATCTTCATTCCAGCCATCCTTGTCTTCATTATCACTATTTTCATCTTCCTCACCTTCACTATTATGGCTGTTCTCCTGCACCTCTCCCGGTTGGGGCTGGCGCTGCTGTGCGCCGCTCAGTGCGCGCTGCTGGAAACGGTGGATTTTAAGGGTTTTACCGAGGACAAGCAGCAGGGGACGCTGCAGAGACAAGACACCATGACGGAGCACATGCAGATGTTGTACACGAAGTACAACCGCGCTGGGTTTGCCTTCAGGGACGGAAACACAGTGCGCAGCTTCAAAGCCCACTGGGGTACGTAATCAGCCCGTGATTACCTGTTTAGTAATTTACGAGGATTTCACGCAGAAGTAAGAAAGTTAACGTTTGTATGAGTCTAGTTTTAGTTTCAGTTAATGCCCACATTGTCTTATTGTAAATTTAAAGGCCACTCTGGCTCACTTTTACTGTCAGTTCTAATTAAATTATCTATTTAGTTTAAGTTCTGAATCTGATTTTAAGCGTTTCACTGTAGTTTAAATCCCAATTTAACGTTTCGTTAATTTCCCTGAGGTTAGCCGAAGCCAGGTTTCGGAGCGCTTTTAATTTAGTTGACCATTGTTAAGCCTTGTAACAAACAAAATGTGAAACTAACGTAACATAAAGTCAATTAAATTAACAAAAGCAACATTCTGATTACTAATCTGATTTATTTTCAATTGTATCAAAATAAATTAGATTCGTAATCAGAATGTTGCCTTTCCTCTAAATCAGTTCCACTGTCACGTTCACCATCTGTCACTAGAATAGTATGAGCGTTCTGACCGACGCTCTGCTGGCCACACTGTTATACCCAACTAAGTCTGCACTGCCTCCCTGCGTCCAGTAGTGGTTCTGCACGGTCATTAAATGCTTAGAATTGCTTTTATTATCTGTTTATATTTAATATGTTATAAAATTAAACACATCATTCGAGTTTTAGTAAAACAGCACTGTTTAGGGTTTATATAGCTTTAGTTTGTTATTATTTTGATTTATTTTATTTTTATTTCTGCATATTTTTTCCACTGACTTTGGTAGCAGGTCAAAGGTCTAGTATTAGGTTAAGCCAATCTTTTCTGTTTTAGCAGCTGGAGTCTGTTTTTCTTCTTCTAGATGAGATCCTTTTATGTAATTTGTTTTGTTGATTTTTTAGATATTTTTGAATTAATGTGTACAGTTTTTATTTTATCCAATAATGTTACTTAAATTGAAATTAATTAAAAACCCTAATAGAGAAAGATATAGTTACACAGAGAACATGTAGCAAAGGTGGATGAGTTTAAATACATAATGCCAACCATTCAGAGTAATGGACGGGGTGAGGAAAAGGCTGGAGTGGATGGAGACGAGGGTCAGGAGGGATTGGTGACAGAAGAATAGCAGCAAAGGCGAAAGGTCAGGTTAACAAGACAGTAGTGAGACCTGCTATGATGTCTGGTGTAGAGACAGTGGCTGTGCCTACTACAAAAGGCTGAGTTGGAGGTGAAGAGATGAAGATGTTGAGATTCTCTCTGGTAGAGACCAGGATGGACAGGATTAGAACAGAGCAGATCAGAGGGACAGTGAAGGTGGAGCAGTTTGGAGATGAAGTCAGAGAGGTGAGGTGGAGATGGTTTGGACATAGGGTTGAGGAGAGAGTGGATATACTGGACAATGATGTTCAAGGTGGAGTTGTCAGGAAAGAGGAGGAGAGGAAGACCTCAGAGGAGATTTGTGGATGTTATGAGGAGCGAGGATGGTTGGAGCAAAAGTAGAGGAGTCAGGAGAGAGGTTCCATGAAAAGAACAGCCGAAATAAAAATAATTTCTAGATGTGTTTATATGTGAACTCTGGTGGTAATGGTACCTTCCTTCATCCTTCTTTCACAGGTTTGATAAACGGGAAACAGTTGCAGGTTTTTAATCTCACATCTCTCACCAAATCTGAGGATGTTTTGTCAGCCACACTTCACTATTACATTGGAGATGTTCAAAACTCCACACACAGTGGCCATCCCCACCACCATCAGCAGCAGCAGCAGCAGCACCGCCACGGGCCCCGGCGGCATGGCCTAGTCCATTTAATCATCTGGAGCTTTGCTTCAGTAGACAATAGGTCTCGGACACTGGGGCAGTTCCGTATAAATGTGTCCACCTTCTACAGGGACTTCATCTCATGGCAGTGGAAGGACATAACGCAATTGGTCGGCCAGGCAAAGAACCAGGACCAGATTCTAATCGGCATTGAGTTGGCTCCTCAGGGGCCGAGTTCCTGGAACAAGCAGGTGTCAGACAGATTGGCCTACATCCTAGTCTATGCAAATGACTCAGCCATTTCTGAACCTGAGAATGTGGTAGCCACTCTCCAAAGACAACGACTGGGTCGACGTGTTCAAAATCACACCGAAACAGACCGGAAGACACGACACAAACGGGCGACCGACGTTCCACTACCACTGCAGAACAATGAGCTCCCAGGATCCGAATACCCGTACGATACCACTGGCTGGGATGAGGGTAGTCCGTACAAACCATATCAGAGCAAACAAAGCCGTCGACCGCGGAAAAAGATTCGGCAGAAGAGTCAGCGACACAAGGTTCCTGTGCTGCAGTTTGACGAGCAGACCATAAAAAAGGCCAGAAAGAAGCAGTGGAACGAGCCACGGAATTGTGCACGACGATACCTGATGGTGGACTTTGCCGATATTGGCTGGAGTGAGTGGATTATATCACCGGAGGCGTTTGAAGCCTACTACTGTTCAGGATCCTGCCAGTTCCCGATGCCAAAGGTAGAACTTACTGCCATAGACACAATAACAGGCTCAACTGTCATTTTGAGAATCTAACCACTATTTAGCTGCCATACAGTACATACATACATTTAGACAAAGTCAATGTCGGTCTTTCAACCCTAACATGCACTGAACTAATTTAATTTGGAGGCCACATACAGCCCCGGAGGCTAAGTTTGTCTTTATATATCCATCCATGAGGATATTAACCCACCTGGTCTGACATTTGTCTTGGTCCAGGTCAACTCATCTGGGTTATCTTTGCGCTATAGACCCACATACTGAATTACACATTTGGAGTCACAAGTTTTTGTCCTATTGCTCTAGTATTAGAGAGCTGGACTCATCTGATTCCACGTTGACCCAACAGAAGGCTGATGTTAGGAGACTAGATGGGCCACAAAATGCCTGTTAATAATTCATATATTATATGTGTTCTTTGTAAATACATTGGTGGGTCACAAAATAATCGATAAT